TACTTACAAAGTTTTTGTATATATTGATTTGCAGCTCTCTGATAGCTAGAGATTTTGAACATTTCTACATGTATTTGTTTACCATCTGAATTTCTTCTTTGGTGAAATGTCTATTCATATTTGGTGCCTACCTAGAGATTGGGTTATTTATCTTTTTCTTGTTGAGGTGCTGGGGTATTCTATAAATTTTAGATATAAGTCCCTTATCAAGTGTGTTATTGTCAAATACTTTTTCCCCATCTGTGGGTTTCCTTCTTAGCCTGGTTTTGTTGGTTTTTCAAAAATATGAATAAGGATTTGATTCTTAGAAGGTCCCATTCATATATCTTATTCTCTCCTAGTTGCAGATTTTTCATTATACTTGGAGGGCTGTTCATGCTGTTGGAATAGGGCTTCTAGAGTTTTTCCTAGATTTTCTCTGATGAAGTCCCTGGTCATCTTTAGTTGTTTTATCAGTATGGTATGAAGTGTGGATCTTGCTTAAATTTTCTGCAGATGGCTTTCCAATTTTGCCAACACCATTTGTTACAGAGACTGTCATTTCCTCACTTAACTGATTTCATCTCCTTGTCAAAGATCAGTTGACCATAGGTAAATGAGCTGATTTCTGGGTTCTCAATTCTATTCCATTTACCTATATGTCTGTCACTATACTAATACCACGCTGTTTTGAACACCAAGGCCACGTTGTAGGATTTGAAATTAGGGACTTTGATACTTCCTATTTTGTTTCTCTTTTTCAGTAATGTCTTGCTTGTTCGAGGCCTCTTTCTATTCAAGAAAAAAAATTAGAAATTGCCTTTTCCATCTAGTTAAGGAATGGAATTGATATCTGTATTGGGATTCCATTGAATTTGTAGATTGCCTTTGGCAGAATTATCATTTTCATGATATTGAGTCTACCTATCCATGAGCATAGTATTTCCTTTTTTTTTGAGCATAGTATTTCTCTGTTTGTTTCTTGTGATAATAATTTGTAATTTTCTTTGTATAGGTCGTTTGTGTTTCTAGTTAGATTTATTCCCAAGTGTTTGATCTTATAATTAGCTATTGTGATTGTTTTTTTCTTTAGCTCCATTTCTATACATTTCTATATGATCTTTGTCACTGTAAAGAAATCAAATTGATTTTGTATCCTGATACTTTTCTTGTTGTTAGTTATGTATTGTTGAGTCACCTACGACTTATAGCGATGCTATGTACAACAGCTTGGAAGCCTGCACTGTCCTGAGCCTGTCTCACTGACTTCAATACACCTACCCCCCCTTGCCCTAGTTACTATATCAATACACCTCGTCCAGAGTCTTCCTCTTCTGTACTGTTCCATCACCCTTCTAAACATGATGTCCTTCTCCAAGGATCATTCCCGCCTAGTCATGTGCCCAATGTATGTGAGACAGAGTCTCAAAATCCTAGCCTTCAAGGAGAAACTTGGTTTCTCCAAGATTCTCCCTCTCCAAGACAGGCCTATTTGTTTTCTTGGTGGTCCATGGTATGTGTATGTTCAAGACTCCTACAGCACTGCAAGTCAAAGACATTCCATTCTTCTTCTGTTGTCCTTACTCAATGTCCTGCTCTCTGATGCATAGCAAGTAATTGTGAAGACCATGGCCTGGATCAGGCACAGCTTAGTCTCTAGACTGACATCCTTGCTTCTCAGTACTCTGAAAATGTTCCTGACAGCAGATTTGCCTAATGTAATTTGTCTTTTGATTTCCTGACTTAGAAAACCCTAAAAATTCAGTGATAAAATTACTGGACATAGTCAACGAATTCAGCAAAGTAGTAGGATACTAAAATTTGTTGTTTTTATTTTTGGTTGTTTTTTTTTTTTTAAAGTACTGTTCCTACCTTCCTTTCCCACCAAGCCTCGGGAGTTTGGGTAAACTTGAACAGATTTCCAGTGAATCTATAGTAGATACATTTTAATTCTACTATATTGTCTGTCAAGACATTAGTCCTGGCTTCTGGGTTTGTCTTAAGAAAATGATCCACACCCATGCCACTTCAACTGGGATAACCTCTGGCTTCCTTAATTTAAAACACTGATGCTGGCATGGGTCAGCAGCAGCCACCACATGTCCTCAGCAGTCATGGATCTGTTCAGTCAATTAACTAGGTACTTTTGGAGGAACACTTCTGTTTTGCTAGACTGCGTGGAGCCCCTTAACCTCAAACGGAAGGGAGCAGGAAAGCTGAAGCATCTCGAGTGAGGCAGAGTAGCCAGTTCTGGAAGGGAAAACCAAGGCTTGTTGGTTTTCCATTCAGGTACTTTGGGAGGGATCATGGCTATTCACTGTGGGCCTCAGGCCAAGAAGAAAGTGCAAATATACGGTCCTTCACAGAACATTGCCATACTCTTGGTCACTAAACAGTTACAACAACCTAACATCTGCTAAGAAAAGACTCACATAATATCAAGAAAGCAGCAATGTGCCTCAGTTATCATGAAAAAAAAACACACCAAAAAACATTTTCCTAAAAAAAAAAATAAAAAACAAAAACACCAACAAACAGACCAAATGAATACCTCAGATAGAAGCAGAAAAAATATGTTGATGTGGAGTTATTTGAACAACTACAGAAGAAGATGCAAAAGATGAAAGAAGCAATTTAAAAAAAAAAAAACAACAAAAACAGCAGAGACAACAGTCCAGAAGAAATATATTCAAGAAAACAGAAAAGAATAAGAAATATATTGTTGAGGAGCAACTGAACAGCTATGAAAGAAAATACAAAAGATGACAGAAAGAATACTATAGATAAAGAGGTACAAGAATTTAAAAAAATCATCACAAGACAGAGAAGGTATAGCTAACACAGTTCTAGAAATAACAAAAAAAGTAACTACATGAAAATGCAATTCAAAATATTAAGACCGAAATGGCAGATGAAAAAAGTAGAACTGAAGAGATTGAACAGATATTCAGTGAGTTGGAAGACAAGAGCCTCACTGAAAATACACTAGAAGAAAAATCAGAGATGAGACATAAAGAAAATGAAGAAAACATTAGAATCCTGTGGGATGACATCTAAAAAAGAAGAAAAAGACAGACTCAAAATCAAAGCCTACAAAAAAATACATCGAGCAAATAGCAACTTCAAAATATCAGGAGTAATTATATTTATATACATATCAGAATGAAAATCACCATAAAAGATAAGGAAGGACGTTACATACTGATTAACGGCACAACAGATTGAGAAGACATAACCTTGGTCAACATTTATGCACCAAATGATAGACTGGCAAAATACACAAAACAACGTTTAACAGAATTGAAGAAAGAAATGTACAACACCACAATAGTGGTAGGAGATTTATACACACCACTATTACCAAACGATAGGTTAACCCAAAAGAAACTAAACAAAGATGCAGAAGACTTGAACTACACAATCAGCCAACTTGACCTTGTGGATGTATTGTGAACTGCACCCAACTAAAACTCAATTCATTTTCTTCTCAAGTGCACAATGGTATGATCTCTGGAATTGATCGCATATCATATTAGGACACACAGCAAGCCTCAACAAATTAAAAAACCTTGAAATAAAATATCTTCTCAGATCACAATGCCAGAAAACTAGAAATTAACCAAAGGAGGGTAAAATTTACTCCCTCCCGAAGCAATGGAAAAGTTTAACAGAACAGTAAGTAATAAATGTTGGAGAGGATGTTACGAGATAGGAACATTGTTGGTGGGATTGTAAAATGGTACAACCACTCCGGAAGGCAGTTTGGTGCTTCCTCAAAAAGCTGAACAAAGAAATTCCATGTGACCCAGCTATTCCATTGCTTGGAATAGATTCCAAGAAAATGAGAACTGAAGTTTGAGTGAAAATGTGTACACCAATGTTCATAGCAGCATTATTCACCATCACAAGAACGTGTAAACAACCCAGATGTCCAACCACAAATGAATGGATTGAGAAGTTTTAGTAGACTCACACAATGGAATAGTATGCAGCACGCTGAAGCAATAATTTTGTAAATTACTACCTAACTTGGGAGGGACTAGAGAGCATTATGCTGAGTGAACTCAGTCCCACAAGAAGAGATACTGTATAAAACCATTATTGTAGAATGAGTATGAGGCTTCAAGGTGAGGGAGTAAGGTGAAGCAGAGGGGTGAGGATGTGTAGAGGTGGTGTTAATCATAGGGTTGCACAATTTAATGAGGGGTGAAGGAAATGGGAAGGATCATTTTTGGAAAACAATTTATTCAAACTGTAAATAAATCAGTATAATTTTCTTTAAATCACAATTTTTAAAAAGTCCTAAATAAAAGAGGTCCTTGACAGCAGAAATAAAACAAAACAAAATGATAGCACTGATGCTACTTTAGGGAATGCTAACTTGGAGAAAGGGGAGATAATGAGGGCAAGAGTAAGAAATGCATTTGGCTTAGTTTAAAACCTGCTGTTTAGAATTGATTTTTATTTTGTAGAATGAGTATGAGGATCCAAGGGGGGGGGGTGTGTGTAGGGCAAAGCAGAGGGGTAAAAATGGGCAGGGGGGAAGTGTTAATCATAGGGGTTGCACAAGTCATCTGACTAATAAGCAATTGAATGATCCAAGAACAGTTGAATCAAAATCACTCTTTTTTCTTTTTGTGTACTGTCAAGCTGGATCCAACTGGCACAGGAGGAGATTGCCCCTCCTTCTCCAGCAGAGCATCTGGTGGATACAAACCACATGCCTGCAGGATTGCAGCACAACTTCATGCCACTAGACCACCAGAGCTGCCAAAATACATTTTTAAAGAGTCATTATTGGAACTTCAACCAATTCACTATTTTTTAGTTAATGTAAACCAGCTATATCTGCACCATTTCCTTCATTTCCTCTACATTCTCCCAGTGTAGGTTCCTATACTTGCTACCTTTTTAACCTTTTCAATATATTCAAGAGCAGTATTTTTTTTTAACTTTCACTCAAAGTTTAATTCCCTGTTACTGAAAAGTTAGTCGTTAGCTATCATGAAGCTGATTGCTACTCATGGTGACCCTGTGTGTACAGAGCAGAACAGCTCCATAGAGTTTATTTTTTTTAAAAAAAAAACTAACTCCAAATATATTCATTTAATATATTCATCATAAAGTTTCAGGCAGAGAGTTAATTTTAAAAAACAAATAAAAATAAATAAACAAATTTAAAAAAATAAATAAACCAGCTTCAGATACCGACTTTTACAGAAATCAAGGAGAGGACAGACCAACTAAGGGAAAAAGACGTCACAAGGACAGAAGTCAGACAGACCAGGTCGGGGATTTTGGCTGGAGACTTGCTTTGAGTGGGTTTCCTATAGGAACTTCTTAAAGGATGTGGGGTTTTCTAGAGTTAAAAAAATATGGAACGCTTTACGAAGTTGCATGCCATCCTTCTGCAGGGGCTATGCTGATCTTTGTATCAGTCCAATTTTAGTATATGTGAGGCTGAAGCAAGCACTCCACAGAGTTTTCAATCCTGCGACCTATTGGAATAAACTGTCAAACCTGTTTTCTGAGAAATCTCTGGGTGAGTATGAACTGTCAACCTTTGGTCTAGTAGTCACATATTTAAGTATTTGCACCACCTAGAGACTCCTCTGTTATGGTTATGTACCTTTCAGCCAGAACTGACTCATAGTGACCTTGCAGAAGGTTTTCAGAGACTATAAATCACATGGGAGGAGATTGTCCATCTTTCTCCCTCAGAAAAGTGTGGATTTGATCCTCATGTTTTCGCTTTAGCAGCACAGCTCCTTATCACCAGGTCACCAGAGTTCTTTAGGAACTCCTTTAGAGGAGTGAAAAGGCCTCACAACTCAGACTAAGGTTCAAGTGAGCAAACAAAAAATAGCATTTGTAAAGAGATTGAGAAGTTGTTTCTTTATCAGTCTAACTTGGTTCAACTGTTTTCCTTTAATTGGCAAAGTCAAACAGTTGCTTTGAATGTATGTTTTCTCTTCACTAAATAGGTCAAATCAATCAACTATTTAATACTGTGGAACCTAAATGGTAGGATTAGGTTTCTCCAGCTTTCTCCTTTTGTGGTTTTGCATTTAAATGAGCCAGGGTCAGGGGAGGGTCAGTCTAAGCAAAAGAGACTTGAAGCTTGTAAAAGTGAGAGAACAGGCTCTTTCCATCAAGGGTAATTGGACAACCTCTCTAAAACTGTAGTGCCTTGCTGCCACTTAACCCCTCCCACATCACCCTTTAGACGCTCATATTTCCCTGGGAACAACTCCCCATGTTACAAATCTCTCCCTTTCTTGCTTCTCAGAACTACCAGAAATAATTTACCTGTCTTGTGCCTCATTTCCCTTGAGATTAAGGTGAGAACTAATCTCCTCTAGACTAAACTGTTAATTAGTGGTTTAATACATTACTAAATGCATTATATGCATGTGAACAAGTGGTTTCGGGTAGGAAATGACTTAGAAATCCAAAGGAATAACTTCTTTAATAATAAGATTTTCAAGGAATGTGGCAGGCAGGTCTGAACATTTTGTTGTGGTGTTTTTTTTTTTTTTTTTTTGAGGCTGAAATATCTTTCCTGAAAATCAGACCAGATTGAGTTAAATCTCTGCCTTTCCCAACACGTGTGTTAAGCTTTTTAAAATTTCTAATAGGAGGGATAGTAAACCTGTCTGAGGTTTTTAACTTACATCTAGAATCGTAAATTTTAGCTAAGTGTTTACAAATCAGGATTGATTAGAGTAGATCTTAAGCATTTGTATTTCCAAATTATTACTTCAGAAGATTTTTTTTATATGAACCCCTACTTAAGAACCACTGACATAGAGAAATTAGAGCATTTTTGTCCATCAAAAGGAGGCAAGTCTAGGGTTCCTAGCGTCTCTGCTAACAATGCTGTTTAAAACTAGTTTCTCATTTCATATAAAATTTAAGATTGCTATGTAAACTATGCAAAATTGCAATCCATGGTCTAATTTCTCTTATCATTCATTCACTCCTCCATTCCTCCTGCACCTGCATATCTAAAATCAACACCCATTTTACCTACTACAGAACTACCTATGGAATAATGCATAGAGACATTGTAAGGCAATGTAGACCTAGGCCTCATTCAGTGCTTTCAAATGTTCCACACCATCTAGTATATCTGGGATAAAATGCTCAAAATTTTATCTAATAAAATAAAGCACATAGTGATAAACATGGTGCGAAGTTAGCAAATATATTTTTTACATATCTCCAAAGCCTGTTAAAAAAATAATGCTCATTGTAGTCAGTTGTTAACTACATTGAAAACTGTTAGTATCTAAAGAAAAAATTAAGGAAGGGAGATGTAAAGTAGAAATAAAAGCACTTGTCATGGGAAAAAGATATGAAGTGGAACTTATGTGAGGTGAAGATGGAGGATTAATTTTTCTGGATCTGTAGTAATATTTTTCTCCCTGCATTTTCATGACCATCAATGAGCCTCCTTAGCAATGAGGTTGTGGTCATCACTCATAAGATCCTGAGGGTAAATCTGAATTTTTATTTCTGATTTTGAAAGACAATAGTTATTATAAAATTGAATTTTCACAATTTTAATTATTCATAATCTGGTATGAAAGGGGGAAATGAAATATTTCACCTTTAGCTTCCTAGAAAAGAGGACACTTCGGAAATAACTACCTGGAAATAGTTAATATCTGTGAATAAGTGGGAGTGAGTTAGCAAGTACTAGGATCTCTGCTAGTTTTATCTGAAACTGACCCACTATTAGTTTTATGGCTATATGGCCCATCTCTTCATGGAGCCAAGGGCTAAACTCAGGTATGAGTGTTATCAGAGCACATGTTCTTACAATGGCATGGCAACTAACTTGCAAGGATGAAACTCTGTACTCCAAACTATATCCCTACTTGAATTTTTAGCTGCCAAGTTAGAATGTAAGGAGATCTGGTGGCCTGGGGATACGGAATTGCACTGCAAACTGAAAGACAAGCTGTCCAAATCCACCAGCAGTTTTGAGAAAGATAGGCAACCTTCTCCAGTGTGACTTACAACCTCTAAAAACCCACTGGAGGGCCAGCTACTAGTTGGTTCCCACTCAAAATGAATGAGAGAGAAAAAGAGTGAGTTAGAAGGTATCACATGAATCAAAACTAATCCCTTCTTGGCCAGGACAATTAGGATTAGTTTCTCTTTTTTTTTTCCTTTTTTTTTTTTTTTTTACTCTGCTGTTGCTTGTTGTTGAGAAAATACACAACAAAACATGTTCCAATTCAACAGTTTCTTCAAGCACAATTAATTCAGTGACGTTGGTTACATTCTTGGAATTGTACAATTATTCTCACCCTCTTTTTCTAAGTTGTCCCTCTCCCATCAACACAAACTCATAGTCCACTCCAGCTATGATATTGTTTTTTGAATAAATAGGAAGATTGTCAGTGTATCTCCAGTCTATGGTTTTGGTCTTTAGAGATGAGATTTCCCTCTAGAAATTTCATAGCACAATATCAACTACATGTCTCATTTATTTCTGTTCTGGTTGGTTCCCAGGCCTATATTGTACATGAGGTACTTTGCTACTGAAGGATTTACATGAAATTTATTCCTTAAAAATTACTTGCTCTCAGTGAAAAGTTTTAATTGTATCTTTCTTAAATATTTACTGTTCAGAACAAGCACTTTATGAACAGCTAATTAATTTCTGATGTAGCTTCCAATATTCTCCATAAAGATTGACTAAAAAGGTAATTATCTAATTTTCTATGTCTTCTTCAAAAAGGCCCTTAGAGGCTGACTGAGTAACAGGTGATATGAAGGATGGATTTTAAAAGTTCTGCTAGTAGGCTGGCTGAGTTCTCCAGTACAGACTTAGCCATGGCCCAAGTGTATTTCCTTTGGGCAAGACTCAGTCTCATGGATACAAATGATTGATTTAACTCATAAAGGAAATGGACTACATGCAATTTAAAAAAAGTGGTCTTTCTGTGATTAATATGTACACTGAAGTGAATGATAGTCTGGCCTGTGAAAGAGTGGAACATAAGATATTTCTTTCATAGAAAAATAAGTAAAACAACATTATTATTAATAATGACTGTAACCTCAAAAGGGGGTTGGACTAGCCAAAATTCCTTGTACCAAACAGAAAAAATAGTTTCCTAAGCATGTCACATGGTTTGAATCCACCAACTGTTCCACAGGAGAAGGATGGGCAATCTCCTCCTTGCAATTTACTGCCTTTGAAAACTCACTGGAGGCTCAGCTATAAGTTGATTCTGGCTCGATGGCAAGCCAACAACAATAACGAGCATGTCAAGCTCTCTTTGCTCTATCTCTTCCCAGTCCCTCAGTTTGAGGACAGAATTATTTACCTGAACTCAGTGTCCCACCTCAGCTGTTAGCAAAGTAGCTGTTTGAAAGCAGCACAACTCCCCTCACCCCATTTTTCCAGAAGAAGCTTGGGAAGTAGCAACTGTTTTGAAATGAAAAGACTATCCTGATATCCACCTTTTGGCAGGTTCTTAAAAAATGTGTTAAGTTGATTCCACCTCATGGAGACTTTGTGTTTGTGTTTAACTATGCTCTATATAGATTTCAGTGGATGACCTTTTTTCAGTATATCACCAGAACTTTCTTTAAAGACACTTCTATGCTCTATATAGATTTCAGTGGATGACGTTTTTTCAGCATATCACTAGAGCTTTCTTTAAAGGCACTTCTGGGTAGCCTCAAATCTTTAACCTCATTAACAACCAACGATGTTAGCCATGTTAGTTACTTAGGACATCTTAGAGATTCTAAACTGGTATTCTCTGTCCTATTACAATCTCCTGATTTGTTAACACAAGGCTGCTGTTGTTCTTGTGTGCCATAGAGCCAATTATGACTTATATTGGTATGTTGTTGTTGTGTACCATCACATTGGAACTGACCCATACCTGACCCTCCAGCAAATCTTCAGAGGCAGATAGTTGCACTGGAGGAGACTGCCCATCTTTCTCCTGCAGAGCAGCTGGTGGATTTCAACCATGTACTTTGGTTGCCAGTGCAACTTCTTAC